TGACGTGATATCAAAAAACTCCTCACCAAATCTAATTAAACCCGCAGAAGCAAATGAAAGATACCAAAATATGTAGTCAACAATATTTTGATCATTCTTTCAAAATACAGAAAAAACTTTAATTTGTAAAACTAGGGGTACCACTATGTTGAGCTAACAAAATCATTTGTGGTTTTGTATAGCCATTTTTGAACTCTGGCTTATCAGCCACAATTTATTTAAAATAATACTTAAATTTACAGAAGTAAATTCCTTCCCATGCACACTCGAAGAAATCGAGTCTTCTTATTAAGAAAAAATACTTTTAAAATTAGAAGTACTTTCCAAAATACTTTGAATTTTATTTCGTCATGTTCTACTTGAAATGAATACAATATTTAACTGGTTTTAATCAATCATATAATTAGAAGGGCATCAAAATGTTTAAAAATTAAGTAAAGCAATTGTAATTTTGTGTTACTTAGTTATAAAATTTATTAAAACTCTCCTCCGAAAATTCAGGTTGTTGGGTTATAATTTAACCCTTGTAGCTGTGGACTGTATTAAACGCTGATTTGTTTGTATTTTATGTATTTGTTGCAGTTCTAATTACAATCACTGATTTGTTACTAAGTTATAATGAAAGAAGATATATTTATTTTTATTGGTTATTTACATGTTGTTAAGCGGAATTTACTTTTTAAAGTGAACAACTAGTTCAATTAAAACACTCCGCTATCCCCTCTACCAGGGGTAGCAACCATTACGTGTAAAGCTTAATGCCCTGAAGTTTGTCACCTTCATTGCCAATATAATAAAACGAAAAGACGTCCGAACAGCAATGTTGTCGCAAATGTGAAATAAGCAAAATAAACTGATTTGGAAAAGATTAAGGAAGAACATCAGCGAATAGACATCGGATTCGTACTGTAGCAAATTACAAAACCACATTGGACTAGATTTTCAGGAGAATCACTACATCCTAAATGTGACTTGGGACAAAATTATTTAATTCGTTTATAAAATGTGCTGGGATACAGAGATTGCGGAATTTTGTTCTCCTTACCGTACAAGTAAATTATATCCCCAACAAATATATTTTAGGTAATGAGAATTTCGCAAATCGCAAGTGGCAATTTCAGTTTGGAATCGTTGATGCCTGATGACAATGAGTCATGTCCGTTAGTGTTAGTAGGGAGCTGATAAGCGGAAACCGAGCTGTACACATGCATTCCGTTTAATTCGTGAAAGCCGTTGAATCTCCCATCAAGCATGACTTGTACTACCATCATCGACAGAGTTCGTTATCCATGCTCATTTCATCGAATGCATCAATCCTATGCAGGTATCAATGTAATCATACGAAATGAAATTACTACTAGTCTTATAATGCCAAACCAAGCAAGAGATGTTTAAAGGACTGTTTGAATGTTACGCACAAATGCACTTTCAAAGTAATGTTTCACAAGATCTGCAGTGTCTTATGGCTGACTGAAAGGTTCCCAAGTTATCGTGCCACCACTGCCACCAAAACAGAGTTCGTTATTTCATCGAACGCCAAGCACTTATGATCCTTGATAAGAAGCAATTAATTTAATCAAAATTAGTACTGGCTTAATATCGCATAATATAACTTCATCTCCTAATACAGAATTTAAAAGATATTCTTAGAATTCGAAAGATATTTGATCTACTGGAATTATGACTTATACTACCATCATCGACAGAGTTCGTTATCAATGCTCATTTCAGCAATTGCATCAATCCTATGCAGGTATCAATGTAATTAACCAAATGAAATTAGTACTAGGCTTATAATGCCAAACTCGAACAAGAGATGTTTAAAGGACTGTTTGGATTTTACACACAAATGCACTTTTAAACTAATGTTTCACAAGATCTTCAATGTCTCATAACTGACTGAAAGGTTCTCAAGTTATCTTCCAAAATTGAGCTGCCACCAAAACAGAGTTCGTTAATACACCGAACTCTAAGCACTTATGATTCTTGATAAGAAGCAATTAATTTAATCAAAATTAGTACTGGCTTAATATCGCATAATAAACTCCATCTGCTAACACGGAATTTAAAAGATATTCTTAGAATCCGAAAGATATCTGATCTACTGGAAAAATGACTTATCATTTGTACTACCATCATTGACAAAGTTTGATATCAATGCTCATTTCATTGAATGCATCAATCCACTGCAGATAAAAAAAATATGAAATTACTACTAACTTTATAATAAAAAATTAAAGCAAGATTTGTTAAAAGACTAAATCTTGCGGACAAATGCTACTTTGTTTTTAATTGAAAACCTAACTTTTGAGGTAATGTGTCACAAGATTTTCAATGACTTGATTGAAAGTGTATTCCAAGTGGTTATTATTTCACCGAATGCCAAGCACTTGTGATCCTTGATTAGAAGAAATCAATTTAATCAAATTTGGTCTTGAAATATAGAAGATCTTTCCATTCAAGTGCAAGGGCTAGAATTTTTTTGCAAAATATTGAAAATAATAAATTTTCTCTTATTTATATTCTTATAACGGATTCTGTCTAACGGATAAAAAGGCTGTTATAATAATTTTGTAAAATTATTTTACCCTCATCTATCAAGTTGATGAATCCAAGCTCTATGCTAAGTTCATCAGCCATGCACATTTGTCTATCGCTTGATTTAATCTAACGATGAATTTAATCATCAATGTAATATGAAATAGGTATTTTGGAATTTTCATAAGAAGGAATGTTACTCTAAAGTACCATCTTTTATAAAATATTTCAAATTTCTTCCTATTTATGTAAAAACGTTTCCGTAACCGGCTGGGTGAGCCACACTTGTTTAATTAACGTTCGTGCATATTTACAGTTATGCAATATAATTTCTGTATGCATATTTCTGTTAACTTACTTTGCTTGCATTCAAATGTGAAGTTATATATATATATATATATATATATATATATATATAATTTTCGGAATATCTAATTCCATTTATATTTTTTTCTGTTAGATTTGAATTTCTTTGAAATCTTTTCAATGAAATCTTTCACCACTTCCCTAAGTTTGAAAAATATAGATCAGAAATATGTTTCCAATTAAAAATAGCCCTGCGGTGTGAAACAGCAATGGAAAATCTCTCACACTATTCTTTCCTGAATCGAGTTGGAGTTTAACTCAGATCTAGAACCTGCCTTAGGGTAGCATTCCCATTGTATTCTATATACATATGAATATATGCACCCGAAAGGCTAGTTCTTACTTGTGATCGAATTTGATCTATAAAGTGAAAATTTGATATCATACTGCTTGACATCACATCACAGTTGACCTCAAACTAGTGGCTGCAATTTCAAGTTTTTATCATGGGACCACAGGCTGACTCAATATATTTAATCAGAATTTTTACTTGTGCAATTTGTGTTTGACTGGAAAATGCCGAACCAATTTCGATGATCAAATAACGCAGATTTCAATCGATAAGTGAAAATTATGCAACCATCCATGTGTTACCTATTTGCGAAACCCAATATCACGACCGCCGGATCAATTTATTATCAAATGCACGATCTCCATTCAGTCGTGTCTTAAATGCAAATAATTCATGAAATAGAAATAGGGACATTGTAATAAAAGATACTTTTGTTAGAGTTCGACAAAGTCGAATTGTAAAGTCATTTATTTATAATTTTATTTATTTACAATGAAATGAACAGTGAAAATGTTTCGACCTAATTTTTAGAAAATCTTCAATAAAATACCTTATCAAACATGGATCCACATGGATCTATGGTTTTGAGCTTAGGCATTTGCAGAAAAATATGCAGTACAAATATAATAAAATACTAAGGGCTATAGTAAATTCCCAATGATCTAACATTGAACAGGTTAAAGACATCATCATAGAAGGGGGCTTAAAGAACCAGGAAAAAATACATCTATCCCAATCCACTTATAAGAATTGGAATAATCCACTATAAAGAATTGAATAAACTACTGACGAATAAAGAAATAGTGGCCCAATTAATTTGGCAAAGTAAAAAAATAAAAAACCTCTACTAGCAAAGAGTTCTTCAAGACCATAGAAACCACTTGCTCTCTTTCAAAACTTAATTAATTATTAAATTAAAATCTAGAACTAAAATGATTTTATTTTACAAAGCTCCTTCCAGAACTGTGCCAAACAATAAGCAGTCTGTGATCATTAGAATAATATACTCAAAATTACATATACTAAATCCAACCAAATCTTTGTCTCTGAGGAAATATTTCAATTTAGAATAAACAAAGAAAACCTAAAATCAAATCTAATATATAGTCCATACCAAGACAATATTAGAATATGATATATCGATATTCATTAATATATTGATATCCAGTAAAATGATTTGTTCCAATTTGACAAGGTTCATAAAAGAAATATGCCAGAAAGTAAGCAGTCTGAGATTTTGCTTTAATCTTTCCCAATAACTAATACAACATAATATTCTCAAAATTACATTAATATTCAATGGTAAGGTCTTTTTCTCTGGGGAAATATCTCTATTTGCAATAAACAAATGAAACCTGAAATCAAATCGAAAAGGCAATCACATATTTTCCCAAAATTATAGAGAACACAAATAAACAGGTTTTATATAATGAGATGGAATCTAACCTCAATCTAAGTTGTTGTCGATTTGGTACTAATTACGTTTAACGATCTATATAAATTGTATTAAATGCCATACAACATATTATAAGTTTGCAAGATTGTAAATTATTGAATACATTGAAATTAGGAATTATTTTTTATAGAAGATAATCAAACAAATTCGAAGATAAGATAAAACTTATTGTTACCTGTCAAAAAATACTTTTACAACGTCAATTCTTGCATTCCAATTAGTATTGTAAACGCAAAAACTGACATTTGATATGAGATAATAACCTACATTTATCTGATATCAACAATCTGATATAGTTATAAGAAAAATGATTAAAATTAAGGCAATAAATATAAATTATTGACTTACCTCGTTGAAGGCCATATTTCCACAGCTATCTCCCAGTCAAATTTAAAAACAACCCCTTATTTGGGGTCCACCTGAGCACAACAACAACACTTGAAAGATGGTCCTGAAATTGATTAATTTTACACTAATCTGTTTTATGCATTAGGTTAGGTCATAGTTATTCAGATTTCATGAAAATAAAGTGATTGTAAACTCAGTATTTTAAGAACTTTGAATTTAAAGAATTATGTACATTCATCAGGTGGGATATTTATTAAACAAATCAAAACACATAAATACACGACGACACATAAACAGACATAATCACCTTACACCAATTAAAATATTGTCTATTACGTAATTGTTAACTCACGGTGTTCAAATGTCACACATTTATCATTGATATACTATTTTAATTCTAAACACACTTAAAAACATCAAAACTAAATGCGCCATTTTGCTTTAATGACAGTGGATGTCATTGAGCAGTGCCGGCAACATCGTGAGCCGATCAGATTGCCATATGCTGACGAAACAGTGTTGCCAGCACTTCAAGTTCAAATTATGGCGGGAGGTTTAAATTTAAAATATAAAGTTAAAGCCAAGGAGCAAAATAAATACTCATTTGTTTGACAATTATATAATCTAAACACGCATAAGTATTTTAGATGCAAAAAGTGTTTTTTGTTAAACATAAGCAAAAACAACTAGTCCTGAATACATAGTCAATAGTTGTTTAGCAGAATATTAAAATTATTGTAAAATATATACTCATCTGAATGACAAATACATTTCACGTAATATATATTGACATTTCCGAATAATCCAAACACGCATAAATATTTTAGATGCAAAAAGTGTTTTTTTGTAAATATAAGCAAAAGCAACTACTTAGTCCTGAATACATAGTCAATAGTCGTTTAGCAGAATATTAAAATTATTGTAAATTATGGAATAGAAAGGGCATCCTATATCAAATATATTTCGAAATTGAAAAGCATGCTCGTTGTATGTAAACTCTAAAAAGGATTACAATAATTTGGAATAGAAAATGGAAACCATTTATACATCTAGATAAATTATATTTATACTTTTAGATAACATTCAAATTATTATGAATTAATAATATACGTAATACAAAACGATTCTATAAATGTATAACTAATAATGAGGAAAATAAATATTTAATATATGCAATTTGATATTTTTAATACAATTACTCTTAATTATACACTAATACTGCAATTCAATTCAGCATGAGTAAACTATTATAAAATTAATCACAAGTATCACAGACTTTTTATAATACTATGAGGTATTATAAGGTCTATGATTAGTATACTTTGATAATATAATTTTAGTTTAGACATACTGACAGTACAGTGATATTTCAAAATTTTTGTTCTAAATTCACTCGCAAACGAATTTCTTGGAGTAAGAACGGTCATGCGGAGGTAATGGTAATTGTCTTAATAACTTTAATACTTTTAAAAGCAATGTACTTAAATAAAGCAAGATTTTTCCAAAGATCAAATTCGCAACTATTAAATGGAACGAAATTAAAGCTTTGTAATTAATTGAACCTAAAGTTTTGTAATTAAAAGGATCCGCCTTGAAAAAACGTCGACGCATACATAGATTTTAACCAATTTTGATCCCAAACGATTCACGATGCTTGAAACGTCAAGAAAACATAAAAGTGGCTAGTCAAATTTTTCAGCTAAAACATAAATCTCTTTAATAGTTAATTTATAAAAAAATTAAATATCAATTAGTCTTATTAGGATCTCCAGTTTCTCTTAATATAATAAGGTTTCGTTCTGAGTGGAGGTTTTAACAAAAAATGGAAACTAAATTTCACTTCAGTTTTTAACTTTTATCATTAGATAATAAATATATAGACAAATATATCGATTATATCTAAAAAATATCATATATAAACAAATTCATTGAAAATATACTATAATAGATGTACTCAGTATTTTAAAAAATCTGACAAATATTTCTTAGCTTTACTATTATGAAGTTTTGCTGGAACTTTTTGAATCCCATGATCAAAATCCAAGTATTTAGTGATTGTTTCATAAAAATCAATTTTCGGGTTTTATATCAGCTATTGTAAAATTAAAGCATGCTAATCGGTGATCCAAATAATACCGTAGGTTCTTGCATAAGTACTATACGTATATTTATATTCTACTATTAAACTACCTTGTTATAGTAAAAGTTATCTCTCATCGCAACTCCTTTATTACACCGGCGATAAGTTACATAAATAACAATACTAATATAACAACCGTAATGATTAAGAAGATTAAATGCTAAAATGCGAATGATAAATTGTGTTCTAACATGCAAGACAGCTGAAATGTTTTCGGCCTATATATAGAATAAACATTAAAATTAGACAATAATAATTGCGTTATGTCCTTCAGGTTTGAAATAAATCACAATGTGGGTCGAAAGCCACACAATATCGTGCGTACGTTTTAGGATAGGAAATGCGCAATTGGGAAAGGAAAAATTGGAAAAAAATAGTTTTTTTTTTGTTCTTTGAGCAAAACATTTTTTATATGTGCCAAAAACAGATATTTTTTAAAAAATAAGTTAAATGCCATTTAGTGCTTGGTTTTCAAATTTTTACAAATATATAGTAGATTTGTGAATAAATATTTTCTACAATATTTAGAATCAGTTCAAAAATCAAAATTTTCAACAACTGTTTTCAACAGTTTGCTTTGCTTACCGAAGTACCTACAATTAACGAAAATACTTCTTTCAATTTTTATAATTCGATCCTGCTTAGAAGTGAATGAATTACATAATATTATCAATTGCAAGTAGATAATTAGACAAAACAGAAGTTATAGTTAATTTAATTCACCAAGCATAAAATCCAAAGTGGTATTTACCGAATGTTCCAATGCAGTTGATGATTATTCCCATAAAAATCTAGATGTATATGGCATATTGCCTTTAAGCAAGTTGCATGAACTTCCCAATATGTGTTATTTATAATACTTTATATTGATATACCTTCGAATACACTCAACTATGCAACCGCACATAGGTACATGCATATTACATATTAGACTACTTTAAATTTTAGTATAACCGTTAAAACCATGAACTCCTTCACTAGACAAAGTTTCATTAAAACTATCTAAAAAAATCTTCGACAATTAGTAAGAAACGGACAGGCCGATCTTTACTAAAAACTAATGCATTAACAATTTGTTTGCTTTTAAACATACTCTATTCCCAGTTCTTTCAATTTCTGGCTCCAGCGATCAACCCTTTCTGTGTCCCTTCACAACCCTGCACCATCCAACGCCCACGTGTGACGTCACATGGTCTTCAGTTAGCGTGCGAAAACCCGGGGCCGTCTCCAACTTGCACCGATGTTGTGCCGTGATCCTTGGATAGTCGGTCGCAAGTTATCCAGGTCAATTCCGGATTGTTGCGCGCCAAATGCGTCCAACTGAATCAGTGCCTCACGGAGGACTCAGCTGATAGGGAGGAAAATGACTTCTAACGTGGTGCTCAGTAAAGATCAGAAACGTGAACAGGTGATCATCAAAATTTGGTGTAATTTGAGCTTTGTCAAACATTTGTGAAATTTTGATAGTGCTGCGAATTTTGTTGCGTGCATTGACGTTTTAGACATGACGTTCATGCATTTTGCATTCATAAATTTTTAATGATATGTGAAAAATAAATCTTTAGTGCAGTTTTAAATACTAGGTTTATTGATGTATTTTCTTAAAATGGAAACCTGTATAAACAATAGTGACTCCGGAACTGCTTTTAATGAGTGCACTGATCACAGTCTTCAAGATCTTTATTATTATTTCTATAATAGTTAATAGAACATTTATAATAGTTGATAGGAAAAATCATAATTTTAAAATGTGTTTTGTTAGTGATTCGCAATATAAACATTAAAATTTATTCAACGCAAAAATTCTTAAATAAATTAATATATTGAACACTTTTAATGATTATTTTATTAATGTGCTAATGGTGATGCAGCATAACTTTTCCAATATAAATAAAGTGAATATTGTTGACTAAAAAACATACTTTAACATTTATTGAACGTTTTGAATAATAAATAAATTGTTATTTATCCAGTTAATCGTAGAATCCGCGCGAGACAAAGCGTTAAGAATCGTGAAAAATTTGCGGATTTCAAACATGACGCTATTTGACCAAACGCATCGACCGCGTACAACGCCTGCTCTTTTTGATGGATCTGCATTAGACCCCTTAAACACCGTAATACCTAAAGTGCCAACCATCACAATACCGCCTGAATGGAAAGCTGAAGAAAATGAACCTGATAATAATGTCGATTTTACAACAAACATATCTTTGATCAAGCGAGACAGGAAAAGTAGATATACAGCTAATGTACGCAATCGAAGTTCTAGCGGTGACAAAAAAATAGGAGAATATCGTACGAGGCCAAAACATTGGGTTTCGGTGGAGCATTTGAATGAACTTCGAAACCAAGCAGAAGTGGCAATTAAACAACACAAGGTATTCATGATTCGAGGTGGATTTCATTCTTTAAGAAAAGCTTTGCTTAAAAGAGGTTGGGTTGAAAAAATAGACCCAAACAAATCGCCAAGATCTTTGTGTCCCGTTCAAAGTTGTTCGGAAGTTACAGTTGGTGATTTAACTGATGATCTACCACGCCGTAAGCCAGGAGAATCAATGTCAGCACATAATGATAAATGCACTAGGATGATCTTGAATAAATTTCTTGCACACACTCCTGTAGATTTTTATTGGATTATGCGAAGAGAAAGGATAGACCTAAACACATGTCGCAATATGACTTGCAGTCGCTTTCAATATGTTCCGTTCACAAACAAAGAAGGTTTGTGCAATTCATTGCGTGATATTCATTGGCATTATGAAGAAGGTATTGCAGATATACGATTTCCTAGATGTTATAATATTTGGATGGGCGAAGAATTTGAAGAATTTACTGAAGATTTTCGATTGACAGCCTGTATCAGCTTATTGAAATGGATTGTCACGAATGTTGATGCAAAAGGTGAACGTTCAGTTTGTTCTTCGGAAGGCCAGGTACCTTATTCGACAATCCATTTCGCAATGAAACGATGCGATGAATTTTTGGCGAGTCGTAAGCATGTAGATCTAGATGATGACAAGGTAACGCCTACTATTTGGGAGCATGAATGGGATCAATTTTTGCGAAATCAACACTTACTAACACATGAAAATGCCAAAATAATGGAAGATAAAAATTGTTCCATAAATGTTCTGCAAGCTGCTTCTAAAAATACTATATCAATTTTTCAAAAACATTGGCCTCAGATGGATATTGACGGTATGATGAATATATGGATTGTTAAACCAGGAAACAAATGTAGAGGTCGAGGAATACGATTAATGAATAATATTAAAGACATAGCATCGATAATAGACTGCCCATTAGTACCTAGAGCCAAATACATAGTTCAAAAGTACATTGGTAAGACCATATAAGCTGTTTATTATTTACAAATCATTAAATTAATCATCTTTTATAATTACAGAAAAACCCTTAATAATACATTCAACTAAATTCGATATTCGGCAATGGTTTCTAGTAACGAGCGTGCAACCACTGATGGTGTGGATGTATAAAGAAAGCTATCTAAGGTTTAGTTCTCAGCAATTTGACTTAGAAAATTATCATGAATCAGTTCATTTAACAAATAATGCGGTACAATGCAAGTATAAAAATGGAAAACGAGATACGGCTCTGCCCGATGAAAACATGTGGGATAATCAAACTTTTCAAAATTATTTAAAATCGATAGGTCAAACTGAAATGTGGAATGAAAAGATTTATCCCGGTTTGTAGAAATATTTCATTTAAAACATTTACTAAAAAGATGCATTATACATTTATACATTTATCTTTAGGAATGCGGCAGGCTATCGTCGCCGCTCTGTTATCCAGCCAGGAGAATATGGATAGAAGACCTAATACATTTGAATTATTTGGTGCGGATTTTATGCTGTCAGAAGATTTTTCGCCGTGGCTGCTAGAAATAAATTCAAGTCCGGATATGGCGCCAACGACAAGTGTCACTGCACGGTTATGTCCGCAATGTCTAGAAGATGTAATTAAAGGTAATTATTTATTCTGACATAAATACTTAAATTTTGTAAAAGTCCTTAAAAGTCAATTCAAGTAAATAATATGATTTGTTATGTTTATAGTTACTATTGATCGCAAGGCTGATATCAAAGCAAGCACTGGTAATTTCGAGTTGATATATAGTCAGAAAATGCCTCGAGCACCAGCTTACCTGGGCCAACATTTAATTGTACGTGGCCATCGAATGATTCGTCCTCAAAAATCAGGAACCAATCGCAAAGAACCACCTAGCTCTTCTAGTTTTAATATCGATCAAATATCAGGAGCAAGAACATGGGACAGAAAATTGGAAAGCTCATCTGAACATATTAGGCCAGTGATCGGTGATTTCATAGAATATTTGAAAAGTAAATCAGATATTTCAGCCATGGTCGAAGAATCTAATGGAAGTGAGGCCAATGTAGGCTATTCATTCGAGCAGCCCATAGAACAAGAACAAGACAAAAAGAAAAAAAGAAAAGGGGTATTTTTAAATAGTGATTTTTCTGATAATCTAAGTGATGATGACAATATTTGTGTAAATGACAATGATTACAATAGTGATTTTAATTTAATAAATAACAGTAAATTTCAAAGTAATGTTTATATAAATAGTAACAGAATTTTCAATAACCGCCAAAAATTTCTAATGTGTAGAAAAAATCTGAACGAACGCAATCAAAAAACAAACGAAAGAAACCTGGAAAATGTGAGAAAAAGGCTTGAAACACGGGAAACCGAATTTTCAAACGATCATCTAAGATTACGACACCGGCATTGCTTCACCAAAGGTGAGATTTTATTACTTTATAAAATATAAAAATATATAAGCATGTGAAAAACATAACATTGCAGGTGTATGGGAACGCAATACTGCAAGTATTCTTGACGTAAGCACACCTTTCAAAAATAGACGAATTGGTTATAATAGCGCACTGCAAACCCCTTCAACAGCCTTTGTTCGGACAAACAAAGAAAATCTGTCTATTTCTTCACAATTACGAGCTTCAACATCTCATTTAATTTCCTCAAAAAAAGCAGGTCACTATGGACAAGGAGATGGAGGGCACGCAAGTTTACTGGCAGTCGGATTAAGTATAAACCAACTTAAAGCCAAATATCAAAAAATAAAACGACGTAATAATGATTCTTTTAATTCTAAATACAAAAACATTTATTGAATTCAAAGATGTGACTCGTTTGCAAAACGTTCTAGTTTTTAATTCTAAATATTGTTGCTTTTGTGCTGTATATGAAAAAATATAATAAAGAAGATATGCACACTATTGAATTTTATTTGGGTTGCTTAGAAAAAAAAACAATTACAATGACATTAAATTAAAATTGAAAAGTGAAATATTCAAAATGACCAAAAAATCGAATAAAAACAGTATAAAATTAAATCACGAAAAAAAAGTTGTTCGCAAAAAGTCTAAACGATTGGCAACCGAAAAAAGTACGGCAAAGAAAAAATTATCAAAAACAGGAAAAACCGACGCAGCAACGCTTTTGGAATCATGCAGCGTAAAGGCAACAAATGCTATAGAAATTCCGCAAAACTCGATAATAGTAACAGGTAAACCGCAGCTTAATATATCGAAAGTGACCCCGACACCTCCGGAGCCGGTTTTCAAAGCACTTCAGCCACTAAGTACATTGACTAACATTAGCGCTGCATCAAGAATAGTTAGTATTCCAAACCCATTAGTACAATCGACACCTCCATCATTAGAATCAAAAATGTTGAACAGTAAGTAGATTAATTATATATTATACGTTATAAATAAATCTACAAAATAAACAAACTACCAATTGTGATAACTATTTTTCTGTAGCTAGTTTTACCAGACTCATATTTCTCATGATCAGAGAACTATTTATATACCTGTATTAGCAAATTGCCTACTAAGATTGTCACTGAGCGATACGAATATTTCACTAGCGTGCATTTTATTTCAAATTATCACAAAATAATAGTCGTATGAAAAAACATTAGGCAGTAATTATATTTGAATACATCACTGGCTAATATTTTCTACTGACAAATCATGAAAACGTGCTCGATTGCATGAAAGACAGGTTTACTTCGGCCAGGTCGGTTAACATCCTGGTTAAGACAAAAATGTTTAGAAACTCAGAATCTCCAGTCTCCAAATCATTCAATTGTTAGTTTGATAGCTTTTTTAAATCAGAAATCACTTTTCCTACATTCAAAGCATCTAAAGGGCAGAAGTCTATTGTGACTATAATTACGTATAGAAAATTATATATTTAATTATAAATAATTTTTTCTAATATATATTTCTATATCATTATTCTACCATGATAGTAACTAATAGATTTATAATTTTCTATACAAAAAAACATTTCAGTGGGAAAAATAAAACAAGAAACTCTTACGTACCACGTGCTACAAAAACCGTTAAGTACTCCAGAAGAAAACCAACAAATTAAGGATATCAATAAGATCGTAATTGCTCCAATTTACTTCGCAAAACCATATCCGTATCCGTTAGAACCTAGTTTTAATTACCAGCTTTACAAGGAATTCAAGCAAGTCGCAGATGTTGCAATTCGTTTTCGTAAAACGTTTATGGTTTACGGAGTTTTTCCAGCAGTTAGAAGATCTTTAAAAAATAGAGGTTGGGTTGAAAAACTTCCGTTCACAGCACACGAAGGATTGATGAAATTAACAATAAATGAATTGCTAAGAAAAATGGAGAGTAATGAAGCACAAAAGGATTTATGTGAAGCAGTAATCATAACAAAGATGCTAGGAGCCAGAAAACCAGATTTTATTTGGAATAATTCGACACATGCTAAGGAAGCGCATACATTTGATGCATGCCAAATATTAAGCAGAATGAGGCATGAACCACAAGGTAAATAAAAAAAATTATGATCACGTAATCCGTCCATTTAATCTTCACTTTTTTCCGCATTTAGTTCATAAATTATAGAAAAACGAATTAGAATGACATCATCCTTATTCTAGGTAACTTTACTCAAAAGTATGGTTTAAACCGCTGTCTACAAGATCAAACCTGGCACTACATACCAGGTGAAGCTGATATTAAATTTCCACGATGCTATAACACGGCGATCAAAGAGCAAATGATAACTTTCGAAGAAGACTTTTTATTAACAGCTTGTGTTAGCTTATTGGCATATTTACAAACAAAAACTTGCGATGAATTAATTTCAGAAACTGGGAAAATTGGTTTCGATACCATCGAATTTGCTATTGCACACTGCAACAGATATCTATACAAAAGTCGACATTTGGATATAGATGATCCCATTTATGATGATGATGATGATCCTAAAGACAACATAAGCAAAGAAGATATTAATGATTTTCTTTATTGCTATTACCAAATCGTTCAGCACGAAAAAACGTTTGAACTCGATGAGAACGGAGTTTTAGAAGGATTGAAGGCCGAGTCATCTAAACTATACAACAGTATCAAAAATATGTTTCCGCAACATTTTATAGATGGATATTGTAATATGTGGTTGCTGAAACCAGGTAATCAATCTAGAGGACGTGGAATCATGGTTCTACAGAAGTTAGATGAAATACAAGAAGAGATAAAAAAGTCTCCAAGAAAATATGTTGTACAAAAATACATTGGTAAGATAAAAGTAAATGGTTCATTTTTTTTAAGTAAGTTATTTTAGAACATTTTGTATTGTAGTACATATACCATAAAGAGAGTAAAATTAAAGCAAATGAAATGCAATTTATTACAATTACTTCAAAAATTAATTATGTAGTTCACAAATTGCCTTATTTATACCTATGTATTTGCTGCTGTTGTTTACTATGTATTTTTTATATTTTCAGAAAGACCATTACTAATCTATGGAACAAAATTTGATATTCGCCAATATTTCTTACTAACTGGTACTTGTCCTTTAACGGTTTGGATGTACCAAGATTGTTATTTGAGATTCAGTTCGCGCATTTACGATCTAAAGAATTTTCATCAAGCAATTCATTTAACAAATAATGCTATACAATCACATTATAAAAACGAAGAAACGCGAAGTCCTAATTTGCCACGAGAAAATATGTGGCATTCTTCCACTTTTCAGCAATACTTGGCAGATAATGGATGTCCTAACGCATGGAGTAAACTTATATATCCAGGTGAAAATTAAAACATATCTAGCAAACATCCACACGAAAACTAATTAGCATAATGTTAAAATAAGAGTTTATGGTATAGAAATATATGGTATAGAAAATACTGCTAATGATTCCTTACTTTAACGCAAAAAAAAATTTAATACATAATATTAAACATACTAATGTTTCTAAGCAATATAGCTAACGTGCTAACTGAATAATACATTTTGAAATTGGATTTTACAGGTATGCGCCGGTGTATCGTTGGAACGTTGTTAGCCGCACAGGAGTTTTTAGATAGACGTAATAATAGTTTTGAGCTTTACGGATGCGACTTTTTAATATCAGAAGACTTCACTCCATGGTTAATTGAAATAAATAGCGGTCCAGCGATGTCAGCCAGTACCAGCATCACCGCAAAATTGTGTCCACAAGCGCTTGAGGACGTTATTAAAGGTTAGCCTACGTTAGTAAAAAAAATATTTTATTTCAAGATAAAAAATACAACTATTAATTGTTTCAGTCGTCATTGACTATACAAGAAATTGGCGAGCGCCCACGGGTCGATTCGAATTGATATACCGGCAATATCTTCCCAGTACGGAAATCCCTTTCAAAGAAGAATTTTTAGTTGAAGGAAAGTCTTTGCCGAGTAAATACTTTCATAATTTTACGTACAATGAAATGTTAAAAGTTCCTTCTTTCTCACATTTGTTACGTAATACTCCGCGAAGAGAAATGAACGAATACAATGAGCTCCTTCCATATGTGAAAGAAAAATTATTAAAGGAGAAAAGTTTGAATTTGGAGATCAATTCTCTTCTAAATGATAAAAAGAAAGATCTTACAAAAAAGAAGAAAACCAATACATCCAAAGAGAAAGAGGAGGCAGATAAAAAAGTTCTAAATAAAAAAGCTGCAACTGAAAATTCTCAAAAACAAGAAATCTCCGGCGACGCAGATAATTCCCCAGAAAAAGGTATTTCACTAGTTATAAGATTATAAGTAATGATAAATAAATATATTTGTGGTTGTAGTTTAGGACAAATAATGTATAGCTTATATTTTATTATTCAGAAAACATGTGTCCGACAAACAACAAAAGAAGTGTGGCTGATGCTGAAACAAAAATGATTAAACCCAGAAAAATAAGAAAAATAAAGACAAGCAATCCTAATCAAGAAACAAATGAAAAATCCCAATCAAAAACTTCACTCGTAATGAATACGCTAGAGTCAAATGCTCAGGAAGCCTTGAATGCTAACCCAGATTTGAGAGCTAAATCTGTTTCTGTGGCGGAAACATTTCAATCTACTATTAACAAAGTGGCTAATGATATAAAAGAACTTAGAATGAAAAGAAAAAATAATAATAAAAACGAATTATTTGAAAATGATGGAAATAATAATAATAAAGTTGCCGACATTGATGCTGACGATATGCAAATTGATCAAAGCAAACAAAGTGTAGATGCAGCATTATCTAACAAACCAATAGTTACATCAACTAAAACCATTTCATGTGAGATTGGAATACAACATAAAAGTGAAAGGCGTTCACAGCCTAATAAAATGTTAAATAAAAAATTAAATACCTTAAAAATACCACCAACAATGAGAGTCTTAAAATCGTTACAATAAGTGGACAAAAGCTGCTGAAGGTGGATACAATATATATTTAATGTTGCCCGAATAAGTCGTTTAAACAAGAGACTCAATCATTGTTCAAAATGTAGGTTTATTACATAGTAATATTTATAATATGCTATACCACATTAAATAATTTTATTTTATTTGAGTGACTAAATACAATTAAATGATAAAATATGCATTTGATTTAAATTCTTGAATTTAGCACATAAAATATAAATATGTAATGAAAATATTACAAAAATAATTATATTAAATGGATATATATTTACAAGCTTACTTACCTAAAATTAAACTATAAAATTGTATATACAAATTTTCATGATACAGTTTTTAAAGTAAATGATAGTTTAGGACGTGAATTATTTTTACCAAGAATTTTCTTCTGTTCTTCTTTTATTCGCTTTTCTTGTTCTTTTTTCATTCTTTGTCTTTCTTCATCCATTTTTCTTTGTTCTTCGATCATGGCGAGTCTTTCTTCCGCCTATAATATTATAACATTACAAATAACGAATCTGCCGTAAGTTTCATCTTTGAAATGCATTTAAAACATGAAAAATTATGAAACTAAAAATTTAAGACCCTTTTTTATTGTTATTAATAGCATTTATGTGCTTACAATTATGTAATAATTAATAGATGCTCATTATCTCCATCAACATAGTAGTAAAACGAAGCTAAATGCAATAATCAAAACAATAGCATTGTTTTCGCTATATATACGATAAATCTAGCGCCAAAAATAATGAAGTAAAATTGATACATCATTGTACTCACCAATCGTTTTTGGGCTTCTTCTATTTTGCGATTGTTTTCAGCCATGATTGCTTCTAGAGCCTCTCGTTTTTGTTTTTCCTCCTCCTACAATATTAAATGACAATGAACTCTGTTTCGCAAACATATTTCCACTCCAAACTCAAAGAGGGTTTAAAATTACATGTCTTGATTCATGTATGTTTCAGAACTGCGAGTAATATATTTTTATAAAACATAATTATAGTGAAATAAAAATGGTTAAGGACATTTGAAAAACATCGATATATTTGGTTCAGTGAGGACCTGAATGGCCAATCGAAATAATATGTAATATATTTAAGAAAACAATGATATAGGTATAGGAACAGAATTTTCAATAGATATAAAGAAATGAAATATATTTTCAAATAATTACCTACTAATACAACCATACATACAAAATATAAATAATCAGCTGTGTGTGTCGTGCTTTTGATCATTTTTAAACAACTATTGAAGATTCTGCATCTAAAAATTTATTTAAATAATACCTGTATACTGGAATGAAGTTTCATATTCCCCACTGTTAGAACACATGTACGGCATAAAATATTAATGCAGTCTGCTCTAAACATTTCACTAATGGTTGCTGTAGAAATATGATGTCTTTTTTGGGTTTCATTTCTCTGAATTTCACAGTCTGTCACATGCTAGAGCGCCGTAAGCACTCAACAATGTCTAATTACAATCTCAAATCTCAACTTGTTAAAGATTCAAGAACGTCACGATTATTAACAGAACTGCTAGCACAAACCGACTTTTTTAAATTAGAAAAACATTTAGCAGTGGGAAAATGATAGCCCAAAAATGACTATCATTGCAAATATACATCTGACATCTGTGGATTATCAATGACTTTAAATCAAATCTCAAAGTACACAAAGGACAAGTACATCATTCAATGAAAATAGTTTAAACCTACATTGCAAAACTGAAACGTATTCCGTATTTTATTTTAACTATTTATGGACTTATTCTAACAAACTTATTAAATCATTTAGTTCATAAAATATTTGGGTTCTTATGAAGGACCAGTTATAACGAATATATATATATATATATATATATATATATATATATATATATATACAAACTTGATACTGATATTAGATATCACTTTTCAGTCAAATACTGAATAGTAATAATCTTTACCGTATCAATAAAAGACAAAGATCGTGATATCAAAACTAGAATGAAATGTGATAGCAAAAACAAAATTTTTCAGTTAATTAAAAAATTAGATTGCTAAAATAAGCCCATTAGTTAAACTTTATTGTATAAAAACGAATTATGTATTTACTGAATTCAAATTATTTAGGTTAAATCTAAAATGCTCAAAAAAGGTCACATTGTCAATCAGTCTGTACCTAAATTTTATAAAAACGCTTTTGAAGAAAGGACTAACATGAGCTGCATCTTCAAAAAAATTATACAAGTGTGTTTTAAAGTTAAATTTATTACGATTTCATAAATTAATATAAATAGCTGCAATTCATACAAATAACATTAAATTAGTAATTTTCAACCATATATTCCATACCAATTTGTGGAATACATGATTATGGACTTTATCATAAATAACATTCACTTTTGTGAAGTTTATTTATATACAAAGTCACTTTAAGCCAATAAAAGAGCCTCATCCATACCTCTCGTTTTCGCTCTTCTTCTTTTTGTCGTTTTCTTCTATTTTCAAGTTCTATCATCATGGCTGCTTCCATTTCTTGTTTAGCTGCTTCCACTCGCTTTGCAACTTCATATTCTATTTCATCCTTGCGCTTTTCCAATTCTTCATCTACCCGCTTTTTGACTAAGAGCTCTATTCGTTTTGCAGCTTCTTCTTCAATAATCTGAAAAATTAGATAATAATTGGCTATTAAAAAAAAAGATGTAACAAGATACAATTTAAAATTAACAAAGCTGCAAAAACATGCAATTAACATACACTAAATTTACAATTTTTTTATCATTTATATATTTATAAGAATTAATATTATAAACAAATACTTAATACTGTGTTATGTAAATTAACACCTTATTTAAATTCACACTACTAACTTAAAATGAAAAAAAGAAGAAGAAAAAAATGATTTACTTACTTTATGTTCTGCTTCTCGCTGCCTCCGCTGCCTTTCTAGTTCCGCTAGCCTTTCAACTTCATTAAGTTTTCTAGACTTAGAAGATTTCTTCTTGTGAGATCGACTACTTATGATTACAGATGCATCACTATCACTATTTGAAGATTCAGAATGTGACCTTTTCCTAAAACAAAAATTAAACATATTAGTTTCAATAGAAGAAACAATTATATCTTGATAATATTAGAAAATTCTAAACTGTTATGAAATATGTGTTGTACCTAGATTTAGAACTCCTTTCTCGTTTCTCTGCTTTCATATAGGCAGCTACTAAACTGTTTTTATCACTTTTTTCTCTAGATTTGCTTCTTTTTCTGGAGTGTTTGCTCTTGTGATGCCTTCGGCTGGGCGATTTACTCCTTGAGCGCGAACGACCCATTTTATTGAATTTATAACTGTGTCTTTATTAATAATATAATTAATATATATATAACGTGGATTTGAACACTTTAACAGCACAACAATTGAAAATCAACAAAAATCAATACTACTCGATTCTTATGAACACGCCATTTTGTTGCATATGTCACAAGAAAGGACCTTGAACTGTGAACAACGTAAGAATTAATAAGTTGGCAATGACTATCACGCAGAGCGCGAAAATTAAATTTGAGTAAAACCGTTGAAACAATATTTCAGAAGCAATACATATCATTTATTGATTGTTTTTATTCGTACCATATTGAATTAAAAAATTATACAACCCTTGTGATAGCGGTGTCACGAAATGTGAAGATGAAATACATAGTTGAAGCAACAAATGGGGAAGTACTGCAAAAAGGGAGTTTAAAGTGTTGCAAAATTTATTTGCAAAAAAAACAAACCAAAACAAACTTTGGTACGGAACTCACAGAAATATAAATAGCATTTGTATTTAATATTAAAATTTCTATAAAATATCTGATAATTTGATGTGCATGTGTCTAATGATCGCCAAATTGCTTTTTTTAAAACTTTTTTTAGTGGATCTGCAAAACCGTTATACCTTATATTATTATTTATTATATACCTTATTATGTTGTATCAAAACAAGTGATATATTTTTTAAATTATTCCAATTGAACGTCCCGTTGCCATTGCCATTTTTGTCACTTTTTACCCAAAACAGCTGGTCCTGCCTTTGCCGAAAATCTATTAGCACATCTTCCTATCAGTAGCAATCGATTGATTTTTAAACATTCGAATCGGATGATCTCGAAATCCTGGATAAAAAAGTTATTTATTTATAAATCAAATCACTGTAAAAATTGAAAGGTAACAAATTCAAAAACAAAGGTTTATTTGAATTTTTTTATTTGAAGACTTTTTGATATAAGTTTGTAATTGTTAGTAATGAGTACAACATATATTAATTTATGTATAATAATTAAAACTATTCAAATATTCTAATTATGACAATTATACTTATAACTAAAATGCAACTTTTTTCCGCACCACCCATGAGGTAAAGTTGCTAGGCGCGTTTTTTTTAATGTGGTATCGCCACAGTTATAGATACATTTCATATTTACGTATCTAACATTTCGGAAGGAAATGGATATTGTGTAAATACTACTAAGTATCGATTACTGCAGCCCTAATCCACCTAAACTAACTTATAAACTAATTATACCTAATTCACATGCTAATTATACCTTACTGATCTAAGTGTTACGCGAAAAGAACTCCACGAGATCACCTAATGTTAACCCAACAATTTCGACTTTTAAAAGCGAAAGAACCTCTCGTGAAAAAGAAAACATTAATATGAAAATTATACTGTAGAATTAAAACGGTGATGTAAATTTACAAAAAAAAAGTATTTACATGATGTACCCCCCTCGATCCACCATGTAAACACTTAAAAAAAACTTCATAGGTTCCCAGCCTATGAAGTTTAAGAAGAAATCATTTTGTGATTTGTAATTATTAGTTAAAGTTTTAAAGAAAAGCGCGAAAAATATAAGAAAGGTTCTTTCACAACGCCATCCCTTTGAGCTCTAAAAAAAATATGCGAACAACCCCAAAAAAGGTACGACCGGATTTAACTTAAAAATGCGAAATAAAAATACGAGATAAACTTAAAAAAAAAAGTATGACGGAAATTATCACGTAAAAACGCACCTTAATTTGATCTTAACTAATATAATAATAATATAATCTAACTCAGTAATTATACAATAATAATGAAATAATATAACTAAGATCTTTTCTCACATTTCATTTCCATTTCGTTTATATCCATTGAATTTGGGTAGTGATCTTCTTCTGTAGGTCTTGTTTAGTCTTGAGCAGGTAGGTTTGTGGCAATCTTTTTGGGAAGTGATGGACAACTATAAAAGAAAATTCGATTAAATAATATATTAAATTCCGTAATAATATTAAAAGAATCAAAAATTTTATATCAAAATTAATTGAAGATTAATAGAATAATAATGATATAATACAATAACTATTTAATAATAATAATACAATACAACTACAGGATTCTCACATTTTATCTTCGCTCATATTCTTTCATTTATGCGCATAATCTTGAATCTGGTAGCGGGGATTCCTCGGGGTGGAGAATACGCAGCTTTCTGGCACTATTGTTGGTAAGATGTCTGAAACGAGATTTTAAAAGCAACACAATTACCCCTAAAAATAGGGTTAAACATACAAACGGGGCCCCGGTAATATTAATATTTAGCAATTATATACCTACTACTAACTAAGGTCTAATTATTATTATTAATAAGAGAAAACCTCTACATATATGCAAATACTCCTGGCGCTGATTTGGCAGTCCTGGTGATGTTCAACGTATAAGCAAATTAGCTTTGCAATTCTGAAATGATAAGTGATTTAAGCAAATATAATGTAAAATGATTTATAAATACTATTTGGTAGCCTGATTATAGTTTAAAGTATTCTATTGCCCTGGTACTTCAAATCAGTGCACATCTTCTATCGGTTGTAGTAGCAGTTCTTGGTATTTATTTCACTTGTATCACCATTTGAGGCCTATCTGCACCAAAATAAATGTTTATTTTATTAATTTTTCACATAATTTGTGGTTTTGTACAGTTATACCTTTTTTCTTCACTTTAAAACAGTACGTCTTTAAGTTTTCTCCGTTCAGGAAGACTTATTGTGCAACCATAAAAATTTTAAATTTATTTGATTAAATTATGTTTATTACATAACATCAGAAACAAATATTAAAAATAAATATATAGGTAATTTAATAAACAGTTTTTTTTTAATTTTTAAACGAGTAATTTGCATCCATGCATCACGAAACAGCTAATGAAATAATTAAAAAAAACATTAACATTATATGTACTAATTATGAGTTAAAGTGTATGGGGTTTGCATTGCCTCTGGGAAAAACATCGCAAAGAATCCATACACTAAATAAAGAAAAAAATATTAATCAATCAAATTAATTTATTAACGAAACGCGAACAACTTGAACCTATCGTGGGGGGTAGGCGATAGGAACGTATTTAAACGCGTAAACTTGGCTTTAAAAATTGTTTTAAACGATATTAAAATTACGAATAAGTTCACGCACGAATAAAAAGTGAATTATGGACACGAATAACTCAAAGCAATAGAAAAATAGATATTTAATTATAAAACGTAAATATAATAATGAAATGTAAAAAAATGCACAATAAATCCCCAAAGTCACCCGCCACTGTACGAAACACTATGTGAAATCTGCAACAAACAAACAATACATTAGTAAATAAAGCAAATACTACTCAGTTGTAAATATTTCAAACATAGAATTTATAATAAAATTTTATATTGATAATGGTTTTGCAAATACCAATAAATCTTCTGTTAACTTGCTAAATTTTCTCAATTATTCATTATTTATTATATGTTTGAGAAACAAAATAGAAAAATCAATGAAATATTTAAACAATATTAAATTAAGTGTCATTAACAAGGTAAACGCTGCAATCTGAAGATGCGTTTGATTATTTATGTTAATTCCTAGACTAAAATTAAATATGTTTACAACAAAAACACTAAGGCGACTCCTCAGCAAAAATATATTAGAATATTAAAAAAAAATGTAAATCGTTTAATATAAAAGAAACGTGTACTTACTTTGATTTATTTAAATTCTTTTATTTAATTTAAATCAAGTCAAATAGAATAAATCTTAATATAAATTCCATGCTATATATTCGAAAATGAACACACGAAGTTATTACATAATATGGATTATTTTTGAAAGACTTACTAGTATGATGTCGATACCATGAGCTCCAAAAACACAATGATATGATTTTGCCTTCTGAACTGGCTTAAATAGGTTCGAAAATGCACCAAAAACTATGAATTGTTACCAGATGATATTAAAATTCAAAAATTGTTATCTGATCGTAATAATTTTGGCATCAGAGTCACAGAGGGTGCAATACGAAAGTAAATATGCAGTTGTGACTCAGTCACTAACAAACCTTCGTGGAGGTTTTGTTGTAAGTATTATTCTCCTTAAATATATTTTTATTTGTGTAAAAGTACGTGATTTTACCTTAAAATTTTTGAATAGCTATTAATATGAGTTTTTGTTCTATTATGTGTAATCACATTCTGGATTATTGTTTGCTTTCTCCTCTGTCAATAAGTGGATATGGCAGATTGTATACATAATTGTATAGGTAATTAAATATTTTTCTGCGGCCTGCCAAAGAATTCTCAAAGATATTTCAGTATGCAGTAAAACTTCCTTATTCGCGAAGGATACGTTCCATAAAAAAGCCGCGTGTAAAGAATCCGCAAATACAGGATGGCATTTTATTTGGAATTGTAGGGGATACGTTCCAAGATGACAAAATAATCCGCAAATAATTAATGAATCCGCAAATACAGAATGGCATTTTATGTGCAATTGTACAGGATACGTTCCAAGATGACAAAATGATCCGCAAATGATCAATAAATCCGTAAATGCGGGATGGCATTTTATATGGAGTTGCGGGGGATACGTTCCAAGGTGACAAAATAAATATTGTTGAGAACTATTATGTTTATGTAATATGCAATATCTTAAGTATAACGAATCCTATATTAAAATTAATTAGTAATAAGTTTAGTGTCAAATCTATGATTAATATATAAATTTATATCAATTGCAATAATATGTTTTTAAAATAAGGGTCAATTTATATAAATTTTATGTAAATGTTAGATGTTGTACTAGACCGATTACGGCTTATGTCAAAGTTTTCTTCATGAGTTAAAAATGACGGCATCGTTTGTGTTCCATACATATAAGAATCCGCGAATAATGAAATTTTTAGTCGCAAATATAGAAATTGGGTCGCAATTTTTTTTGGTCGCGAATAGCGAAAACGCGATTGCAGGGGGCGCAAATAAGGAACTTCTTCTACTGTACATCACTTATTTCCCAAAATCAACAGACCATTCCAATATTTATTTTTTTATCTATTCAATATTTAATATATGTAGTAAAAAAAATTCTACATCAAACGGAAGAGATTTCATCTTATTTGATTTGTTTTTACTTCAGTGCTTTGAAAACCCTAATATTATCTACAATATTTACTTTCACCTTTTTTAGTTTTTTGATGGTAAGCAGAAATATTTTACAAAATGTATAAATTTGACATATTTTTACTATTAGAATTTTTAATAATTTAACTATATAATTAAATTAATGCGGCAATATATTTTCCATATGCCAGCAACCGCATGAAAAATTTACCCAAAATTCATTTCGAAGAATAATTTCACATACATTTTTATGAATAATTCTTAATTATTTGTGTAATTTTATTTTGCTGGTACATTATTGCTCATTTAGAAGCATAGTGTTTTTCACAATGCAATTTTTAAAATATGTATTCGATGTTTGATATTGAATAATTTTAATTGCGCTCTTGAATCATCTTTATCATAACGATAGTGTGGGTCAAAGGCATCTCAGAGCAAAAATCCCAGCATCAGCTTATTTTATTGCAAAAATACTGGTTTCTCCCACTAGTTCCAATATATACAGAAGCATTCGCAGAAGTTTGTTTATATGCAAAATTAACAGCAAGTGAAACAGTATTTTTAATTGAATTTATAAGCGGGGAAAAAAATTGAAAATAAATTAATTTAATATGCTTTTCTAATGCAATTAATTTAGAACTTTAAAGTATTACTATCAGTTAATTGTGTACATTTATATGACAATGCTTAAGTAAATAAAAAACATAATTTAAATATTAAATATACTTGCAATGACTAGCAATAAAAGTTTATATGTGTGTGTTATTCTATATATATCTAGTAAGTCTAGAACAAACTATTAAAATATATTATAATAAATTAAACGGGCGACGACAAAGTGATTAGTATTGTGGACGATAAAGCAATAATTAAATTCTAATAACATTTACATGTACCTAAATTTTGTTCAATTAGTTGCATATAGTACAAATTATTATTTCTGTTAATTTTATTTACTAATTCTATTGTAACTGAATTACAATATATTTTTGTTAATATATTTATATATTATACAATATATATAATCCTCAAGATATTATACAATATATTTTTTAAGAATTTTTTTTATGTATTAATTGAATGTCCTAGTAATATGATTATTACAATAAATTATTGTTCATTGTCATGTTTCAGTAATATCATCCAGCGCGCAGCAACCTCAAAGGTAAATAAAGCAACAAATGTTTATTGTTATGTAAAACTTATTATACCACAGTTTCCACACTGAAAAAATCAAAATGTAATTCTTGACTATTGAATGTTTTTATATAAAAATAAATAATAATTTTTTGTATATTTTATTCCTATAACTTATTTTACTTAATTGAAATATGTAATATTATGCTTTTTTGATGGCTTAATTCATTGATCAAATATGCTTACACTTACAATTATATGAAAAGTATCGTCTCAACCTCCGAATTTATTTTATCGATTTATTTCTCTTAGAACATGCACCGAATTAAAGTCTGACACTCTGGACATCCAATGTCAAAGAGGATTTCGCTCGGTGCCCTGCACCAGCCGTATGCAGCCCGGGACCAGGGCAAACTTGGCGTGCAAACCAGGATTCCAGTTGCACAAAGAACCAGAGTTCTCGCAAATTAATTGCGGAAATGATGGGATTTGGGATAATTGTCTGTTTTCTTGCGAACCAGGTAGGATAAACTTAATTAGGGAATGTTTTTATATTTCAACCTAATTAGGCCAGTTTTATATTGCAATTGATGTTTTAAATTTTATTATAGAATGTGGTAATCCAACACCGATTGAAACTGTTTTTAATTCGGACCCACCTGTAACATACTTAGCAGGTCAATATCCATGGTATGCAATGTTGTTCACCCGAAGGGAAGATTTATTCAAAGGACAATTTCTATTCAGTTGTGGGGGCTCAATTATCAACTCACGAATGATAGTTACAAGTTTGGTTTATCATTAAAATTTCATATTATAAAATGTGATAAATTGCTAATATTGTGTATATTTTCAGCTGCTTATTGCGCTCATAAGCCAGAAATCGATTTGGATGATCAGAGAGTTGTTGTGGGATCTAGTGTATTTCGGTTTAATAAAACAGAGGATATTTATGCTCAGCATTACGAAATAGAAAAAGTCATCGTTCCTAAAGGGTATTTTTCAAACTAAATAAAAATATTAGCAAAATTTGTTTAGACAACTCCTCACGTTAACACAATATTCAACGTTCTATAAAAAAACTTCTAAACAATAATAACTAATAAAGACACATTTTCTTTTAAAGAATGTTTCTATAAATGTACTTTTTTATAAATAATTTCTATTTAGTTATTATGATCTATTCTAGATTTGATATTAAAAAAGAAGGCAATCCAAATAATATAGCAATTATTCTAGTTAAAGGAAAGTTCACCTTCAGTGATATAATTAAGCCGATTTGTTTAGAAAGACATTTTAATGGACCCATAGAAGAGCCAGAAGGAGAAATAGGATACGTAAGTCAAGAATTATTTATAAACAATATATAATAAAACATAATTTATTATTAACTAAACTTTTACGAAAATCATATGCAGAAAATATATTTGTTCTATATAATGTTATTTTAGGTACCAGGATATAGTACTGATAGACAAACTCTTGATACTGTACGATTTGTGTATAATGTATCATTGGCATATATTTCCAATACAAGTTGCAGAAATTTTGAATATCCCTTTAAAAGATTTTATCAATCTTATGATAAATTCTGTGCAGGAAACCTAAGTTTTGGTACGTTTTTAATATAATTATTTTCAATAAATATACCTGTTCTTTATTTTTTTTTATAAATAAAATAGGATATGAAATACCATTTGGATTTTTGGGTGGTGGATATTTTGTTCCTGACTACAAGTCGTTTGAACCCGTGTACTTTTTAAAAGGAGTCGCTTCCGCCTATGGTAGATCCGTCAACTTTTTTGGCATAACTGATATAAAGATACATCTACCGTGGATTTTAGTGCAAGAGGTGATTTAAAATCTAGAGAACAATATTTTATATTATAAGATTATTTCTTTCTATTATTCTGAAAGTAATTTTGTTTTTTTTAAATTAGTTACGAACATTTGAATTTTACGAATTAGATATCTCTTCTTAATTATTTTATGTTATTGTTTGCTTCAACCAAAGATTACTATAGTCTGCATAATAATGCTTAAAATACCCTTAAATATCTGCATGTCTATTGACATTTTATTAATTGAATATCATCAAAATTTCTTAAGAAAAATCATCTCCAACAAAATGAAAAGCTTCCTGAATTTTGTGGTCCAGCATTCCGAGCCAACGCATCTGCGTGAGTATCATCAAATATAAAAATAATAATTCTGATAAAATATAAATAATATATGAAAAATAAAATTGTTTCTCCATAGGCTATTGACAAGTTCTGTTCATTGTAAACTGCCTGCAAAACCAAATAATGGGCGATATTTTGTCGGAGGACAGAGTTCTGATCCCGAACCAGGAACTCCAATTGGTGAATGGTCTGTTCTTAAATATAAATGTGATCCTGGTTATTCTTTGAGTGGCAGTGAAACCATATTTTGCGTAGGGGGTTCTTGGAGTTCTATACCATTATGTCGAAGTGAGAGAAATTTATTTTACGTTTATTTCTCCTATGATCATGATATTGTTAATCTTTATATTTTTTCATTAGAAATGTGTAAGCCGCTTACTTCAACTAGTGTGGACATATATTGCACAAACAAGAATGAAGAAGTGCCATGTGAAAATCCAATGCCGGCAGGAACCACGGCAGATTTAACTTGTAAAAAAGGATACACACTTTACTATGCACCTGACAATACTAGAATAACTTGTGATATTGATGGAACTTGGAATTCCAGTCCCTTTAAATGCACGCCAGGTTCGTTGATTTTACATACTGGATTTTAATTACAATTGTTATTAGTTAATATAAAAAGCTTAAACGTGAATAGCTTCTGACATTTGTAGTGATACAATTAAAATTTCAGAATGTGGTCTTGCTACTCCAAAAGGCCATGGTTTGGTCATAGGCGGGCAAAAAGTTAAAGTTGGCGATTTTCCTTGGCATGCAGGAATTTATGAAAAAAATGAAACAAATTATAAATACAATAAACAAATATGCGGTGGATCCATAATCAATGCAAAAACGATTATATCTGGTAAAAATTATATTTTTTACCAAAATAAATAACTTACTCTAGTGTTGAAGTTTTGAGTTTATATTGAGCTCCAACAAAACAATAAAATTTAAAGCAATTATATTATTCATATGCATTTCTAAATATATTTTAGCTGCTCATTGCTTCTATCCGACTGGTGGTACGGAACCTTATGACAAATCAAGATTTGTCGTGGCCGTGGGAAAGATTTACAGAGGTTGGTTTGACGATCGTGATGTGTTTGCTCAACGCAATAATATAGACCAGCTTCTCATACCCCCTACGTAAGATTTAAATACACATACACACATACACACACACACACATATATATATATATATATATATATATATATATATATATATATATATATATATATTAAAATATATTATTATTTAGTTATGACGATTTGATTGGAAACTACGCTCAAGATATTGCTCTAATTATCACGCAATTCTCGATGACGTTTTCTCCATTTGTACGACCCATTTGTATACAATGGACATTCAGGGGACAGGAGGAAGAGTTGAGGCCGAACACACCTGGAATTGTAAGCATGTGCTTTAATTCTTTAAAATATCTTAAGTACCATTGACTTCTTAAAAAAGAACATTATGGTTAATATGTGAAATATTTTCATAAAACACTACAACTAATTCATGGCCCAACTAGGATTTCAGGCAGCGAGTAACAATTTTTCATACGTGTTAGAATATTGACATATTTCAAATATTTAAATCATTGTTTTATTTATTTATTTATCAGGTATCCGGCTGGGGTTTGACGACTGAGAATGGTGAGCCAAGTGAAGAACTCAAATCCATAACTCTTCCAAGTGTTCCCCGATACGCATGCCGCGAGAATTTTCCGGCCGATTTCCGTCCATATTTGACGCCCGGAAAATTCTGTGCAGGATATCAGAACGGTAGCAGCGTCTGTCAAGGGGACAGCGGCGGCGGCCTTTGTTTTCCTCGGGCATTGGACCAAAATACAACCGTATACTTTCTCAGGGGCGTTGTTTCCGTAGGGCCAACTCGGGATGGATCATGCGACTCTAACCAATATACTGTTTTCACCAGCGTCCTGGCGAATTTGGAATGGCTCAAGACTCACAGAGCCCATTTAAGCGTTTAATTAAGGTGATCATACGTTCCAATAATTGTACTGGATTGAGATCTTTTATGCCTGATTGTCTGTTTTTCAAAAATTAATAAGCAAATTAACAAAAATTATGCCAACATACGAACTAGTACTAATAATTTCAAATTATGAAGAAAATTGAATAACATTTTATAGAAGGCTGAAACGCGAAAAAACATATAGATCGAAAAATATAAGATATAATTTATTATCTTAAATAAAAAAAAGTATTATATATTATCAAATTATAGCATTCATACTAAAAATCCGCAATTCTGATTAAAGAAAATGATTCATAAAAAACAGTTTTTTATTGTATCCTCAAATAGCATTTGTCATTTTAAAGCACACCCCCTTCCCCGTACTGGTATGCATCTCAGTTTGGACTCAAAAAAAGTATATGGTCACATTGATTTAATACAGTTCATCTTCATCTTTATATCTATATATTTACAAATGCACGCATTCATACACTTATAGGTACACCCATAAATAAAAGAAGTGTTATGCGTATACCAATCTTTTCTGTAATAATAATGGATATTGATGAAATATATGTTTAGCAAATGGATAATTTAAGAGTTTGAGACGATGTTTATCTTAATACTAATATAATTATTATTAAATAATCTTTATTTATTTATTTGTTGTTAGATTTAAATAAGCTGTATTTTTAATGATTTATTTATATTGCCTATTTATAAATTTTGGTTGACACCCTTTCATTTAGTTTCTCAGTTAATTAATATCATAAATTCCAACACAAATTTAAACAAATATCATAATTACCTTACGGGAAGTTAATAATATTTTACCTCGTTACTAGTTTATTTTGATACGCTTAGATTATGATTATATTAAAAGCTATATTTAGTTTTTAAATCCATATTTGTTATTGAATAATTTCAATTGCGCACTTATATCATATTTATCATTAGTATGGGTCAAATGCACGAGCAAAAATCCCGGCTTCTGCTTATTTTGTTGCAAAATACTGGTTTCCCCCACTGGCCCCATATATACAAAAGCATACACAGGATTGTTTATATGACAAATTAGAAGCAAACCGAACACTATTACTGAAATTATTTATTATCGAATTAATATTATGAAAATAACCTATTTCATTGGTTTAACTAAGTAAATTAATACAGGGCATATAGGAATATTTTTATATTATGTATATAAGTAAATTCATGTGATTATAATCATATAAAAAATATAATTTCAATAGCAAAAAATATTCGCAATGACTATAAATAATAATTTTTGTGTGTTCGTTATACTATATATTTCTGGTAAGTTAAGGCCAAACTAAAGAAGTATGTGTTTAGTATTATGTTACACTAATACAAAATATAAATTTCGATCTCAATTGTCTCAACTTGTAATCTCTAAGTTACATATAATTCTCGTATATACTTCTTTATAAATCGTTCAAGTAATATTATGTTTTTGTTAAAAAATGTTTATAAATTAATTTAAAATCACGTTTCAGCAATAAATTTTTGTCATGTTTCAGTAATTATATCCAGCGCGCAGCAATCTCGGAGGTAAATATGAAGAAAAAAATGCTTATTGGTATGCAGTTTTGTTATTGCAGTAATTTCTATCATGTTAATAAATTAATAAGAAAAATTCAAACATAATTGAACTTGATTCTTAATTACAATTAATTCAACAGTCCATCAACTTCGATTACAATTTACCACAACTTAAAATTAATAAATATATTTTTGTTAATAAAAATTATATAGTAATAACAATTTTACTAGTTTTTGATATAAAGTGAAATTTTTTTTCTACTTAATTAATTTAACGTTTAAATTTAATACTTTTAATTATATGAAAAATATTGCTTTAATCTCAAAATTTAATTTACTATTAAATTTATTTCTCTTAGAACATGCACAGAATTAAAGTCTGACACTCTGGACATCCAATGCCAAAGGGGATTTCGCACGGTGCCCTGCACCAGCCGTATGCAGCCCGGGACCAAGGCAAATTTAGCATGTAAACCAGGATTCCAGTTGCACAAAGAACCAGAGTTCACGCAAATCAATTGTGGAAATGATGGGATTTGGGATAATTGCTTATTTTCTTGTGAACCAGGTGGGATGAGTTTAATTGGACAATATTTTTATTGAACGATTAATATTTGTATTTAAAATTATATTATATATATAAAGTTTTATATTAGAGTAAGCTGGTGAGATTCTTAGAATGAAAAAATCATGGATTTTGACACTGCAGGCAAGAATGTCATACGTTTTGTAAAAATAAAATAAAATTCCGTATGATGGTAAACTGGAATATTCAACATGTAGGTCTGCATGATTTGCCGAGAATGACGTCAACGTTAGTCTTAAAATTTGCATAAAAACACACATGCACACATACATAAATAATCATTTATATTTCGGTTAAATAAATAAATATATATATATATATATATAAATTTTGTATACGCAATTTTGTATTTTTTGCTCATAATACATTCTAATAAATACTAATAAGTTCTAGGTATTATCAGTTTATGTAACATTTGAATTGTTTATTGACTGCGTTTGTTCTGAGTCTTTTTTTTATTCATGTACACTTTTCTCAGTATTATTCATTTATATTTTATTACAGAATGTGGTAATCCAACACCAATTGAAACTATTTTTAATTCGGACCCTCCTGTAACTTACTTAGCGGGTCAATATCCATGGTATGCTATGTTGTTTACACGAAGAAAAGATTTAAGAAAAGTACAATTCCTATTCAGTTGTGGGGGCTCTATTATCAACTCAAGAATGATAATTACAAGTTTGTTTCATCACATAATTTTTATTCATGTCTATGAACCATATTATGAGTAGGTAATATTTTACTTATTTTTAGCTGCTCTTTGCGCCCATAAGCCAGACATCGACTTGGACGATCGCAGAGTTGTCGTAGGATCTAGTGTGTTCAGATTTAATAAAACAGAGGATATTTATGATCAGCATTATGAAATCGAAAAAATCATCGTTCCTAAGGGGTATTTTGCACAAAAAACTTTGTTTTATCATAAATTCTGTTTTTTTTTTTGTCGCGGCACGGCTTTCTACAGTTTTACTTCAATTAAAATATTATAATAGCATATTTTAACATTTAGTTGCATAATACATTTTTTAATAATGAATATAACCCTGAAATCTAATTTTTGAGTAATTATTTGCTTATGAAGTCTAGTTAGTTATTATGATTCATTTTAGATTTGATACTAACCATGAGGGTCGACCAAATGATATTGCAATCATTCTTATCAAAGGCGAATTTACCTTTAGTGATATAATTAAGCCTATTTGTTTAGAAAGACTATTTAATGGACCCATAGAAGAGCCAGAAATTGGAGAAATGGGATACGTAAGTGAAAACAAACAATACATATTTATTAACTTATAAATAATATTAAAATTTTACTTAAATATGATTTAAATGGTATTTGTAATGTTTTAGGTACCAGGGTATAGCACCGATAGTCAAACTTTTGATACTGTACGTTTTGTGTATAATTTATCATTACCATATATATCGAATACGAGTTGCGGAAATTTCGAATATCCCTTCAAAAGATATTATCAATCTTATGATAAATTCTGTGCAGGAAATCTAAGTTTTGGTATGTTTGTTGTAATGGAAATCTTTTTAATATATATATATATATATATATATATATATAAATGGTATTTTAATAAAACAGGGTTAGAAATTCCATTTGGTTTTTTGGGTGGCGGATATTTTGTTCCTGACTACAAGTCGTTTGAACCCGTGTACTTTTTAAAAGGCGTCGCTTCCGCCTATGGTAGATCTGTTGATTTTTTTGCCATTACTAACATATATGTACATCTACCATGGATTTTACTACAAGAGGTGAGCAAAATTTAACACCAAGAATAAGAGCTATTTAATGATGTAACTCATAACTCTACAAAAAACTAACTAAATCTTTTATATATATTATATATAATATAAGGTATATATCGGAAAGTAATCACATTTTTTAAAACTCCATCGGACTTAAAAAAAAGTTAAACATTAGAATTTTATAAATTTATTCTCTAGTATAGATAAAAAATGATAAAAATGTGCTAATTGCTTACCATATTGTAATAATCAACAAACAAATTTATTAAAATAATGGCTGTGAAAAATTGCTAATTCTGTAAAATGACAACATCAAAGCGAAATGTTTCTATAAATTTAATCTCGCACATATGTCTTAGAAAAATCATCTTCAACATAATAAAAATCTGCCTGAATTTTGTGGTCCTGAGTTCAGAGCTAATGCATCTGTGTGAGTACCATAAAATATAAAAATAATGATTCTAATAGGTAATAAAAAATATACTTTGCAACTTAACTTATAAATAATGCCACCAATATTTATCCCAAGGTCGTTGACAAGTTCGGCTCATTGTAAACTTCCTGCTATACCAAATAATGGACGTTATTTAATTGGAGGGCAAAGTTCTGACCCAGAACCAGGAATGCCAATTAATGAATGGACAGTTCTCAAATATAAATGTGATCCTGGCTACTTTTTGAGTGGTAGTGAAACCATATTTTGCGTAGGAGGTTCTTGGAGTTCTATACCATTATGTCGAAGTAAAGAAAATGCATGTTACATTTATTTCTTCTATGATCATGCTATTGTTAATATTTATATTTTTTTATTAGAAATGTGCAATCCACTTACCTCAACTAGTGTGGACATATATTGCGTTTACAAGAATGAAGAAGTGTCATGCGAAAATCCCATGGCGGCAGGAACTACGGCAGATTTAACTTGTAAAAAAGGATACACACTTTACTATGCACCTGACAACACGAGAATAACCTGTGATATTGATGGAACTTGGAATTCTAGTCCTTTCAAATGCACACCAGGTTTGTTAAAACTTTCAAATCCTGTATTCTAATTATGATTATTAGCACTTTGGAACAAAATAAGCCGTAATATTTTCAATTATACAAATCACATTTCAGAATGCGGTCTTCCAACTCCAAAAGGTCACGGATTGATCATAGGTGGTCAAAAAGTTAAGGTTGGAGATTTTCCTTGGCATGCAGGAATTTATGAAAAAAATGAAACAGACAATAGATACAATAAGCAAATATGCGGAGGATCAATAATTAATGCGAAAATGATTATAACCGGTAAAAATACATTTATTGTTTGTGAATTTAATAAAATTAATAAGATACTTTTTCATTAAATTTTGTGTGAATAAGTTTTGTGCACTAACAACTAAAAATAATTCCGAAATGAATTGAAAACCATTTTTGGTGTAAATAAATAGTTTTATTTACGAAATTACATGTGAAAAATATAATCACAATACTATGACTTATAGTAAAATTATTCATTAATGCATCAACCAATCAACCAATCAACCAATTCATTAATGAATTTTAGAAGTAAATTTCATTATATTTAAATTTAACGATCATTATAATAAAGTTTTGCCATTCCGTATATCAATGTATAAACTCAATATGATTTATATATATATATATATATATATATATATATATATGTTTTTCAGCCGCTCATTGCTTTTATCCGACCGGTGGTTCGGAACCATATGATAAATCAAAATTTGCCGTTGCTGTAGGAAAGATTTACAGAAGTTGGCTTGACGAGCGAGACGTGTTTGCTCAACTCAACAATGTAGATCAGCTTCTCATACCTTCAACGTAACGTTTATAATATAGCTTAGAATTAATATGACTTCTAGTACTGGTAGTTATTACTATGAATACAAATATCTTTAAAAAAAAAACACTATTTAGGTATGACGATTTGATTGGCAACTACGCCCAAGATATTGCCATTGTTATTACACAATTTGCATTAACGTTTTCACCATTTGTACGTCCAATATGCGTGCAATGGACGTTCAGGGGCGAAGAGGAAGAATTGAAGCCAAACACACCTGGAATTGTAAGCAATTACTACTTTTTATAAATTTAATTTATTATTTTTTCCTGAATTTAAACTCCCGGAAGGTTTTATGTTTTTGCTTGAAAATCCAATTTGATAATTATATGCTCACTTGTCATTCTTATCATTATTTTGCTTTTGTATTTTCTTTAAGTAGGATATCAGTCGAAGAAAAAATAATTTTTCATACGCGTTAGAATATCGACATATTTCAAATATTTAAATTATTGTTTTATTTATTTATTTATCAGGTATCCGGCTGGGGTTTGACGACTGAGAATGGTGAGCCAAGTGAAGAACTCAAATCCATAACTCTTCCAAGTGTTCCCCGATACGCATGCCGCGAGAATTTTCCGGCCGATTTCCGTCCATATTTGACGCCCGGAAAATTCTGTGCCGGATATCAGAACGGTAGCAGCGTCTGTCAAGGGACAGCGGCGGCGGCCTGTTTTCCTCGGGCATTGGACCAAAACACAACCGTATACTTCCTCAGGGGCATTGTTTCCTGTAGGGCCAACTCGGGATGGATCATGCGACTCTAATCAATACAGTTTTCACCAGCGTCCTGGCGAATCTGGAATGGCTCAAGACTCACAGAGCCCATTCAAGCGTTTAACAAAATATATATGTGTGTATATATATAATGCATCATACACATTTTGTTCATTCAATTATAACTAAATATAATTTTAGTAAACAAATTTTGGTAGTTCCTATCTGATGTTTTTGGCTAAATTTGTACGTATGTATTAATTTTATAATTTTTGATTTGTATTTAATGTTTATAACTATGAGTAATCAGTGCCAATTTAAATTATTAAATTAATCTTAATCAATTTTAATATAAATCTATGTACTTCTATATTTTTAGAAAGTCGATAACATTTCTAAAAGGTTTAAATTAAATTTACATTTATGTTACAGATATAGTATGATATCAAATTAAGTTATATTTATAGCTAAGAAAGTGCATCATATATAAAAGTGATAAAAAATTTAATTTTTATCTATTTTATTTAGTAGACATCGATCCAACACATTAAATTTAAGACACTCCAGCACCATCAAGGTTTGCAAAAAAGCAAAGTGTATTGACCAACGTTGATCATCTACCAAGTCAAAGCAAATGTATAAGGTATAATAAATATTTTTGTAAAATACGTTACAGCATAATGTAAAATTAAAAGTCGCTCATAATTAAATTAAAACAACAAATTAAATTAAATACAATATATTAATTCATTATTTCATTAACATCTGTGCACTTAACTTTTCAATGCATTATAGTAGGTAGAGTTACTAGGAACAGCATAATTAATAGATCGAGCGACTATTTTTGCTGGAGAACAAGTCTTGAGTAACTTGAGAGTTGAAGACTACTTGGCTTGAAGTTGTCGTTTACCCTATAAACACAAAACAATCAATTAGTAACTCTAAGGAAAGTTAAAAATCAGTATTTTCAAAAAAATGCTGTTATTTAAGTATTCAAATTATGCTGCTTTCAAAATGGTCAAAAAATTCAAGATTCTCCAAAAAAAATATTTGTTCTATTCTGAGATTTTTAAATTTTAAATTACTGTACGGAAAGTTCTAGAAATTTGCCTTAAGGCACTATGCCATGCACCACTAGTATTTTTCAAATACTTTCTTTATAGTATTTCCAAAAACCGAGTGTGCTTTATAAATATAAATAAAAAAAATTTACGAGATGTAATTTTACAATTTTCACAACATGTATGTTTTTGTTTTTTTTAAGACATCAACAAAATCAACAAGTAATCTCCTAGTTTCCCCAGTATGCGTAAAATTACTGTTGATGATGCTATATGAAGGTGCTTCTGGTGATACTAAGTTGGAAATTTTGAGACTACTCTCCCTTCCTGATAGTTACCCGAGCAACAAGAAACTTGCAGGAAAAATTATAGTTTCCCTTAAGGTACTTCAAGTACATTCAAATGCAATAAAACATTATGACTTATACCAATATTTCATCCTCCTCCAGGCCAAGATCAAGCTTACCATTTGGATTTCGACACCAGGATTTACATTTTCCACATGATCCAGCCCGGTAGCGATTCAACGAGATTGCCAAAATGTTTGACGGCTCGGATATCGTGTCTATAGATTTCACAAAAGGAATAAAATAAAAATAACTCTGATGGTACTGTCACCAAATACGATAGTGCTGCTATTTTGAATCAGTGGTGATGAATTTTCAATAAAATTTATTTTTATTTGATCAATGTTATTGATAAATTTATTTTGCTCTAGCGAATGTTTATGGTCTGAATGGAAAAAACAATTTCCTAGGAGAGTACTACATAGGGAAAATTCTACCTGGATGTTAATAAGTAAATTATATAAA